ACCTCGATCCCCTCGTCCAGAAGGCCCGCCCCGTCCTCCTCGTGGTGCTCCCCCACCTCTCTCTGCCATAGATTTAGGAGTTGGGGATTTGGGGCGGAGTCTCTCAATTTCTTCAGTACAACCAGACAAGTAAGAGTTGGGCTCACTGAAGTAGGTGGAGTAAGTTTCCACATTGAAGTTGCTATTGGTCAGGGTAGGGCCCAAAGTCAGCCATCCTGATAAAAAAGAAGCAGCAAAACATTCGATCAGACTAAACATACACTACCATTTAAAAATTTGGAGTCGGTAAGATTTTTTCACAACAAAAATGAATGGATGCAATGGAACCATAGGCTAATATCCAACCTGGCCTGATGGTGCTGTCCCTGCCGAACAGGTGCAGCCGTCGACGGCCCAGGCAGAAATGTTCAATGATGTGGAAAATCTCCACTGGCTTCTCAATATTACCCATCTCTGGCTCCTCTGTAATGATCAGGTCTATATCCACATTAGCATGAATGAAATCGCCATCTGTGCTGCGTCTAACTGTGCCTTTGATGCCCATCAGACAGTGTTCCTGAGCGACATCAGAGAAGAACACATAAAAGCATTTCCAACTGGAAACAATTGTTTGCGCCAACAATGTTGTGGCTTGCCAGAGCTCTTACCTTAGTTCTCTGGAACACTGCTTTGGGGTCCAGCGTTTTGGTCTTACCAGGGTTGTTTTTGTTAGTCTTGATCCAACAAATGTCTTCACATCGCCTGAAACCCCATTTCCTCAGACACTGAGAGACAAGAGAGAAAGATGTTAAAATATAGTTTGCAAGACTCAGACAATGACTGGAATGAAGCATATTTGGTATTTGTAGTACGACCTCAATTCAAGGACTTTCCAGGTTTAATACCCTCAAATTGAAGGACTTCATGTGCGCACATTAACGTCATGGCAACGTACAACACAAAGTACTTCAAGCGGGAAACACTTAATGTAACACGTAAATGCGTGCAAGTAAAGTAAATCAAGAAAGCTAGTATGCATAGGCCATGAAGTGTGGCAAAATAACACGTTAGCGAACCAGAGGCGGAGGGAATAAAAAACTTATTGGAAAAAACAAATTCAAGCACTTTGAACTTTCCAGGGCCTTGATTTTATTATTATTATTTTTTTTTTTCAGATTCACACACCCTCAAGGATTTCAAGGACCCGTGGGAACCCTGTCATGATTTAACGCAGGTGATATTTTGCAACAAACAGAAATATGCCACTGTGTGTGAATGTGAGATTTGTACCATTCTGCCAAGATCAAGGCCTTCTCCTGAGCCACACCACAGGAAAACAAAAGAGCGAATACATGAGATTTCCTCTATGTCCAGCTTCATGATCTATAACATAAAACAAATAAATAAATACACACACACACACACACATATATATATAAATATATATATTAGGCCTGTGCAAAGATTAATTGCGATTGATCGCATCCAAAATAAGTTTGTGTTTACATAATATATGTGTGTGCTGTGTATAATTATTTTGTATATATAAATACACACACTTTCATGTATATATTTAAGAAAATGTGTTATTCATATATAAAATATGTATATTTATATATAATATAGATTATGTATTTACATATATACAGTATTTACATGAAAATAATTCTTAAATATATACATCCATGCATATGTATTTATATAATTCTACACAGCATACACACATATATTATGTTTACACAAACTTTTATTTTGGATGCAATTAATTTTTGCACAGTCCTAATATATATATGTAACATTTTTAGAGAATTTTCAATAACTCACATCATCCCAGTTCCAGAAGCGCTCGTTGGCAATGATGCCCGACTCTCTGTAATACTCCTCTAATGGAGGCTCTATCAGAATCACATCAAACTTGCACTTCAAATCTCTCAGATCAAATGTTTCTGGATCTGCCTGCAGATACCTGACTCACAAAACACATTCATAAATTCATAGTATATACATGCAATTGAGACATAAAATGGGATCCAAAAGTCTCCTAGTGAAATGCTTCTAATTTAATTATTTATATGCTTTCCAATTTAAATTTAAAATCAAGAAATTAAAAATAGTTTAGTTTTACAATGTGGTCTCAAATGTTTGGACCCCATTTTTCTTAAACATACATTAAAAATACATAAGTGAAATTTGGTTAAAAAAAACATTGCTCTATTTGTAGACACAGCAGGTTTTCTCACATGGGTGGGGTGTTGGTGGCAGAGATGAGCTCATCTTTTAGTCGGATGAGCTCTCTCTGTTTGGGGTACTCCTCAAACCTGTCAGCCAAACCTACAGGACAATAGAACATAGGTTAGCATTATCTCACAGCTGGACATGAAAGAGGGAGACAAGGAGAAAAAAAAAATAGGAAGAGATCGGGCCATTTACCTCCATCTCGGATAAAGTTCTGAGGTCTGTGACCTGTGTCCACAAAGTGCTGGCAGTAATCATTGTGGGGATTTAAACTCTGAGTGCCCTGTAAAACAGAAAGTGATTATAGCTTGATGTTTATAATAAAAAACAACTTGTAATGCTATTATTGTTAAAGTTGGCATGAAACAGAAGTTGCGAGTCTTTTCTTCCCTATTGTAAAATACATCTGAGTGAAAGGGCTTCTGGGACAAGAAAAAATGTAGGGCGAAATCTATCTTTCAATTTAATAATAATCTCTCTACTACCAAGGGTGACTATAATTTATTTAGGAATAAATTTGTTCTGTAATGTAAGCATGGACCATGTAACAAACTGCAATGACTTCTAAACAGTAGAGATCTGTCATTCAGTTTTATAAAACATTTTTATTAAATAAATCATTGTGTAACGTTGCCTGTTGTTAGAGTTTGTTCGTTGAGTGAAAGTGTGTTCGTTGAGTGAAACCTTTGCTAGTGTTATGGACGAATGGCTTGATTTGAGACACGCATTAAGTTTTTTGACTGTTTTAGTGCATTTTGGTTGTGAAATGAACTGATGTGCCCAGCTGAAAGTAATTTCCCATAAGAAAATAGTCAATTTTGATTTCACATAGACTTTAAAAATCATTTACCAATATAATGTAAGATTTTGCACAAAGTACCATTGAACTAGCATGTTATTTTTATGTGTGTTTAATTCTACCTTTAGGAAAGTGCTGGAGTCTTTGTACACCTCTTCATATGGTCCGCTCTCCTCCGGCTGCTGGGGCTCAACATCTTCCTGTAACGCCATATAGCAGATCCAGGATCAGTTACCTACAGCCCTGCCCTGATCTAAACAGAATTTAGAAATTACAGCTGATTCCTGATCAGTGCTCACTCACCCTCTGCTCCTCCACATCCTCCTCGGGTTCTTCACCCTCATTCAGACACTTTCTTTTCCCACCAGGCACTGATGTGTCAAATGATGCCCTACAGTAAACATAACAGAGTCCAATCATTACCCCCATCCTTATTGTCACGGATCTGACTTCTGCTTCGTGTAAATGTTGCCCTATCAATACAGTTGATCAAAACAATCAAACAAATATATTTCAGTAAGTTACCTGCATGTCTCTCTGGTCTCTTCGATTTCTTTTTGTTCATCTTTACTATTGAGAACAGCACCGATGCTATCGGGACTCTCTGCCCCGAGCTGCAAAACAAATCATTAACATCAACAAAGCTATCTGTATTTATTCACAAGTCTAAAAGCATAGGTTTGCCAATAGTCGCTAACACTGGCTTAAGCTAAAGTTCACCTGTTGTGCAAGAAGCTGCCGTCTTAGCTTCTGCCTTTCACGTATTTCTTGCAGCCGGCTATTCATGACAATATTTTACAGCGAAAGAACTTCTCATACAATTATTTGACGAAAACAAAAGTGAGGCAAAAAAATCAATCGAAAACCTCAACGTGAGAACCAGTCGCACGTATTTTACATCATCAGACGCAAACTATGACGTCATGTAAACGGCTGATAGGCATAGACGCTGATAGGCTACTTACTTTTGAAGTTAAAACAGTGCTTATTGATTTATTAAGATTTATTACATTTTCTGCTTAATAATATTATTATGTTTCGATCATGTTATATCCTTACATTTTTTTTTAATTTCCATTTCATACATTTATTAATGACTTTTGTAAAATTATTTTTTTTCTTCCACATATTGTAGGCTAGAATAACTTTATTTTAATTCACTTGTTTTATTGATGCATTTATATTGTAAAGAGGCTTCCATCACGTTGTTTCAGAATGGTATTTTTATGCCATTTTTGGGTGTTTGCAAGGGAAAATATATTTATTTTGCCCTTCCCCCAATTATTATTATTATTTTTTTTTATTTGATTTTGTTTATTCTACTACTTATCTAATCTTATTTAATACTACCACTACTACTACTACTACTACTAATAATAATAATAATAATAATACTAATAGATTTTAATCCAAAATGCAATTCTCTAGAAATTATTAAAAAAATTAAAGAAGTAGGCTACCTAGTATAGCCTAATGGTGTGATATAATGTTTTAAATCACACTAAACGTTTTAAAGTTCTCTTGTTTCAGGAAAACATTAGAAAACAAACACCTCAATATCTAAAAGAGCTGTTAACACAGAGAAAACAAAAAACAAAAACAACATTTATTTATTTAGAAACATGCATTCACTGTCATTTTTTGATCAATTTAACAGCCCTTGCTGTAAATAAATAGGCCTATTTCTTTCTTCTTTTTCTTATCGCAAGCATTTTTTTCTTTTCACAAAAATATTAAGCAGCAAAACCGGGTTTCAACATTGATAATATTTTAAGCAGCAATCAGCTTATATCTGAAGGAACATGTGACACTGAGGACTGGTGGCTGCTAAAAATTCAGCTTTGGCATAACGACATTTAATAATAGGATATTATAACAGAAAACACGCATGTAACTAGAGCAAATGTCTGTTTTATTCTGGAGAAGTTAATTCTTTTACTGACACAAGAGGGCAGACGTGTCACGTCCGTTGGTCAATGCGATCATGCCTGAACGCTTGAACAGAATATTTCACACCGGAGCCTCGGAGAAAACACAGTGATGACCACACCAGACCAGACACTTTTAATAAGTTAACAACTGAACGTGGCAGACTCGTTCAGATTCTGGGAGGATCGGTTCTGCGCGCGTACATTCGCGGACCATCTAAGCATGTGCTGTTCTGACTATTTTGTTGAGGAATTTTAACACTTAATTTGTCTTAAAAGCGTACTATGTTTGCTATTTTGCACCTTCACGCTCTTTAATGAACGGCATAATTATTTTTTTTATTTTTTTTAAATGTACCACAAATCTCTGACTCAATCATCAATATGCATGAGTCATTAAGCCCCGGGCTTCCCCGCGCGGTTTCTCCTTTATTGATCAGCGTCTGAGACTCTGGTTCTCCGATAACAGCCATAATAAGACAAGATGAGACAACTCGAGGAGCATGTCTCCATATAGACTGGAGGAGGACCTGTTATTGTTATGGTGACAGCGGGAGACAGGTTGATCGTGATGGATGTGAGATGTCGGTTCCTCTTCACCCTCGGCACGCTGCTGCTCATCGCCTTCAGTCACGGGTCTCCGTTCACAGACTGTATTCAAAGCAAAGGGAAAGCGGGCTTTTACGTGGGATCTATAGACGCCACCGAATCAGGCGTGAAATGCATGAACTGGAACGACGTGCCCGGTGTTAAAGAGCGATATCCGGGGAAAGGTCTTGGAGATCACAGTTTCTGTCGGAACCCGGACGGAAGAATTCGGCCCTGGTGTTTCTTCCCAAACAGCCGAGGACGCATTGACTGGGGGTACTGCGATTGCAAACAAGGTAGGCTACATAAACAATATGAGCAGTTTGCAAGAGCAGTATTTTATATAAACTTATGTGAAAAAATACGCGTTAAGTGTTTCTAATCTTAGGCAAAAGACCTCCACGCGCAGATATAGTCTGTCAAGATTTTTTAAGATTAGTTTAATGTTCATTCTTAAACGTTTTGCTTAAATTATGATTGATAGTTAAACATATTCAGATCAAGAAAACAGTGCAATGCACCACGCAAGCAAGCTAAAACATGTCAAAACTTCACTGCGTCCACGCGTGGGAAAGGTATGCGCGCCTCAGGTAGCACCTATGAGAACAAAGCAGCCACTCTCATCCGGCGCACGAGGTCATTTTATCTTTTAGGTCTTACTTTGAGACAACGATCTCTAACAGAAATTTCGCAATTTACAGTAAGTTATTTCTGTTGCAGCAGAAGCTGTGTAGAAATTAATAGCCTAAATACAGTATGCACGAGCGCGTCTTGTGCAGGTCTCGAGCTGCTCAGAGCTTTCGCATTGCTGACAGATCTGGAGTCAGTGCGCTGTTAAGAAGTCAGTCAGGTTTAATTTGCCAATCACTCTTTGAAAGTTTGACCTTTGTGACAAACGCAAGAGTATAAATAGTATCGAGAGTAAAACATATAGGCTACGGGAGACCCGGTCGACACCCTGGGAAAATTATGTCAAAGGAACACCTCCAGGACACGTTAACCTTTTGTGACAACAACATGTCCCAATGTTGTGAGTGTTACTATGTGAGATAAGCAAACTGTCCTTGTGTTATTAGTCCACGTGTTACCAAGAACAACCGTGATATATACTATAAATATACTATATATACTATATATGATATATACTCCTTTCAGAATCTGTGAATATATATATATATATATATATATATATATATATTATTCTTTTACAAAATAAGAGGGATCATAAAAATGCAAAGCCTATATTTTATTCACTGTCTTGAATAATATATTTTACTTTAAATATGTTTACATATCCACAAGACAAAAAAATAGCTGAATTTATAAAAATTACCCTTGTTCAAAATTTTACATATTGATTCTTACTGTGTCCTTGTCTGAATGATCCACGAGTGTTTTTTGTTTTGTTTTGTGATTGTTCTTGAGTCGCTTGTCTAGAGCAGTTAAACTGCCTTATGTTCTTCAGAAAAATCCTTCAGTTCCTGCAAATTATTCAGTTTTCCAGCATCTTTTGCATATTTGAACTGATTTTGAACCCTTTCCAGCAGTTATGAATTTGAGATCCATAGTTCATATTTCCATATATTCTAATATAGGCCTTAGAAATAACACTTGGAGAAGAGGTCTAAAGTTGGTTGAGTTCCTCCATAATCTCTCCATATTTATTATTTGTGACATTTGTTTATAATCTTTCCAATAGTATTATTATTATTAGTTAAAAAATCACTTTGAATGTGGACATCAGCTTATCAGTGTATGAAATGGGAAACAGATGAGTTTATTGGTATTCTATTAGTTTACATTGTCAGCATGCATCCGCCGCCTCACATTTTCCAAACATTCTGTAAAAGTTTTGAAGCTCTGAAATGTTTGAAGAACATGTGTTGCCATCATGTTTGGTTGTGCACTGTGTGATTTATAACTGAATGCAACAGCTGGGTGATTCATACTGTAAACACTGGATGCATAAAAGGTTCTATCTCTCTCTCTGTCTCTCATACACACACACACACACACACACACACACACACACACACACACACACACACACACACACACACACACACACCTGTTCCAGAAGCAAGTGAATATATTAATACTGTTGTGGCCAAATTTTTAATGCAATCTTAAAATATTTTTTTAAGCAAGTTTACATTTTTGATCTATTTTATGTGTTTAAAATCTACATTTTATAGGTAGTGTTTTCAGTTTGGGGTATCTGTTAAAATAATATAACTTATAATGTATATTATATAATAAAAATACCAATTAAATTAAGTCAATTTGTATCCAAAACTTAAATAAATATGTAGAGACTGTACATGTGGCTAAAAAGCCATTTTTAATTCTCAACTATAAAGGAATATAAAAAACCTGTGAATATTATGTCCATTTAGAATGCAGAAATGTATTTTAATAGTAAAGAAATGCCTTATCTCATCTGCACTCAGTGGTTTAATAACAGACATTTTGGTACTGCTGTACTCAATAGCTTACATTGTTTTCATGACATACATTTTAGCTGTGAGTAATTTTCAGTATCACATGCACAAACACACATTTATTATAGAACTGACAAGTGAAACTCATGTGGAGGTTTTAGCTTTCCTCTGTCATCACATAAAGCAAGTCATGGTTAATGTTTTCGTGCAGCGTAACTGTGGGAACATTTGTAATGCGCACATTTATCAAAATTACGGAGACCAGCGCAACCAATTGTTTGCAGAACATTTACTTTTATCACCTGCTTGAGCAGTGAAGGTCAACAACACTCAAGTTTAACTCACATTTTATGTGTATTTGCAGGCTCTTTGCGACTGCAGGGAGGCAGATCCAAGTTGGATGGTACAGTAGAAGTGTATTTGAATGGTGTGTGGGGAACCATCTGCAGTAATGACTGGGATGATCGAGATGCCGCTGTGGTGTGTCGACAGCTGGGACAGGGGTAACACATACACGCATATACTGTACAGTACGCACAGTATGTAAAACATACTCTCATACCACTTGTACTATTTTTGCAGTACGTAGGCTGTTTGCAATATCTGAATTAAGACTTACTATATTTATCAAAATATGCAGTATATCTCAGATCATTCTTTGCAGAATATCATATCCTGCAAAACCACTGTCAGGATTTACATGGTGCAAAATTAGTTCCCCTTTCGGATACAACAGTGACGATGTTTGCGGTTGTGCATTTACTGGTATTTGCTGCATTTTTTTAACTCTGAAAAAAAACATGCTGCGTCCGAAATCGAATACTTCCCTACTACATAGTATACGAATAACAGTACGCGAGCAAATCAGTAGATGAAAAGTACCCGGATGACCTACTACTTCCGGTGAGATTCGGAAGTGCGCATATGATTGACACTTTACTATCCCATGATGCCACGGGAGAGGAGCCAGACTGATATATCGGCAGGCCGATATTATCGGCCGATATTAGACATTTTCCAAAATATCGGTATCGGCAGTTATAATGGCCGATAAATGAATATTTCAAAAATTAAATAATAAAAATGGACAAAACATGCTTGAAGCATGTCATGAGTGTTGGAGTTGTATAGTTTGTCCACCAGAGGGCACTCTACATCGTCCCTGTTGGCAACACTCGTTGAGTTGTATGTCACAAGACATACATTGCTTGAATAACAATTAAAAGATCATCCCCATCAGTTCTCTTAACTCAAATAAGCATGACAAAATTTGCGACTATCATGTCCAGTTTTGCTGCTGTTAAATAAGACGAGAATGTAGAGGAATCAGCTAGTAATAATTACGTTACGTTGTTACAGTGTAGTTGACTGACTGTCCTTTTAACTTTTGACAATGTGACTGAAGTATTTCTTTAATAGCGCGTGACAGTTGTAGCAATGAGACATATCATCTCTCCTTGGCCTGTTATATTGAAAATGTATTACAATTTGCAGTATGACGTTATCCATTGCCAAATTATGGCTCATCATAGACTAGCTAACCACAAAGCCAGCTAATGCCACTATTATCAGTCTGTTCTGTTGTGACAGTACAAGAAACAAGTTTCTTTTTAAAATGCATTATCATATTATTTTAGTTAAAACTCATAAATAACTACAAATAACTAATGTTAGGTAAATCTGTTAATGTTTTGTTGCACGTTTCTGAAAAAAAAAATATATCGGCCGATATATCGGAATATCGGATTTTTAAAACAAACAAATATTTGTATCCGTATCGGCCTTCAAAATCCTTTATCGGTCGGGCTCTAGAAAGGAGTTGTTGTCATTATATTTGAAAATGGCGGAAACCGGAGAAACGGCTGTAACGTCAGGAGATAAACACAGACACACATGCGTATCTCTATTGATTCATTCATGTTCATTTATTAATGGTAATATCACAAGCAAATAAATGGCCTTTTCCTTGCCAAAAATCAACATCTGTTATTGTATATAGAGGGGTGTGTGTGTTTTATGAGATAAAATTTATTTGGTAAATAATTTTTTTTTGAGAAATTCTCAAAAGGCTCCTCTTGATTGTCAGCTCGGACGACGTAAAAATGCAGATGAAAACAGAGAGCAGAACTAAAAACAGTGCGAAGTTGGTACAGTCACTGTTTTGACAGCTTATGTCACTCGACAACAACATGGCGCATGTAGTACATCCGGCTCATTCGTACTACCCGTATTCATACTATATAGAATTTACTTTTTTAATGGTTGTGAAATACGTTCTTATTTTAATATAGTACATCCTCACATAGTATGTGATTTTGGACGCAGCCCATGTCTTAACCTGTTTTGTGTTTGACATGTATCTGTGTTGTTTAATTTTCACAATGGTAGTAGATCACCCACAGACAGTTTTCCACTCCCGTCAGCGCTTTCAAAGGGTTGCGGTCTCACGCTCACCCGGTTGGATACACTTTATTTTAATGTGACTTAGTTACATTATACTTACTCAAATAAGTACTGTATGCATGCAAGTATGTCCTTGCAATAGAGTTACAGTAGGGTTGGTTTAGGGTTAGTTACTTGTAATTATGCATAATTTACTGTTATTACTTTAGTAAGTGTAGAAACGTGTAACTACGACACCTTAAAAAAAAGTTGCCGCCCTGTTTAGGTAATCTGGCCCAAAATGCAGAAATGATTGTGATTGACTTGATACTGGACTGTCAGGAGATAAAGGAATAGTTAACCAAAAATGTACATTTCATCATTATTTACTCACTCTAATGTCATTACAAATGGTTTGACTTTCTGAGGTAAATTAGATTAAAAAACTCAAAATAATGATCCCTGACCCCGAGATACCAACTGGATGCCAGAATCTGACTTAAACATGTCATCTACTCACTCTAAAGTCATTCCAAATGGTTTGACTTTCTGAGGTAAATTATATAAAAAAACAACGCAAAATAATCATTCCTGACCCTGAGATACCAACTGGATGCTATTATCTGACTTAAACATGTAATGTGGTGAGGTCATGTGACAACAATGTTGCTCTCTACTAATGATACTGGAATAATGTATATTGTAAAGGTTGCATAAAGTAGGCAGTATGCGTAACAACAGACTGAAAGAATGTTATTTTATTTTTCCCAAAACCTGAACACAAACCAATGTACTGCTGAAATATTCAGCATATATTATCACTGCCTGGTGGACTGTAAGAGATGTGTTTGCAGTTAGCTTTTGAAGGGGAAAAAAAGCTTAACTCAAATAAGCAGGAAAAAATTTATGACTATCATGTCCAGTTTAAAAAAATAAAATAAAATAAAATGTTGGCCGATATATCGGAATATCGGATTTTAAAACCCAAAAATATTTGTATCGGTATCGGCCTTCAAAATCCTTTATCGGTCGGCCTCTAATCAAAACTTTGACAAAGGTTCATGAATAGTTGTAATATCATAAAACAAAATGGTTTAAATGACTAAAGGGAGACAAATTAGACTAAAATGAAAAAAGTCTCACTTTGTCTCAGTTACAGGGCACGTGCACGTGTGAGTCCTCTGTCACGTGTGGTGGTGTCTGTAGTTCACTGGCAGACTGTGGGCTGTGAGGGACAGGAAAAGGACTTACTGCAGTGCAATCGCACCGTATGGAACGGGGGAGAGTGTGTTAACCGCCAGGCGGCTGCCGTCTCTTGCACACCAGTGGAGGGTATGCACACACTCACAGATACATAAACACAGACAATCACAAATATACTCTCAAATAAAATGACAATATCTTGAAGCATGTGTGTATATGTATAGCTTCAGTGTTTGTCCCGGTACGTCTCTCTGGTGGTCCATCAGCGTATGAGGGCAGAGTAGAGGTGCATCATGCAGGACAGTGGGGCACAGTGTGTGATGACCAGTGGGACGATAATGACGCTGAGGTGGTCTGCAGACAGCTGGGGTTGGGGTAAGACACACACACACACAAGCTTCACAAACGTGGTGTTTTTATGTTTTATGGGGACTTTCCATAAACATAATGATTTTTAAACTGTAACTGTACAAACTATATATTCTGACCCCCTACACTAACCCTAAACCTAAACCTACCCATCATAGAAAACTTTATGCATTTTTACATTTTCTAAAAACTTAGTATGATTTATAAGCTGTTTTCCTCATGGGGACCAAAAAATGTCTATACAAGGACAAGGATTTTGGATATTGCCATCTTTGTGGGGATTTTGGTTTTAAAATCCGATCTTTTGTGTTACAAATCCAAATAGGTCAAATCAGGTCCATTCAGATGTAAAGAACAGGTGTCCCCAATCCTGTTTCTGGAGATCAACCTTCCTGCAAAGTTCAGCTCCAGCCCTAATCAAGCTCAACTCATCAGCTAGTTAAGATATTCAGGAAAACTAATGAGAGGTGTGTTGGATCAGGGTTGGATATGAACTCTGCAGGTAGTTAGGGCTGCGTCTGAAAGCTTACAAATGCTATCTTTGGAGGATGCATTCCACGGTAGGAAGGCATCAAGGCACATCCGAATCCAATAGTTACTCCTGAGATAGCTTCATCTGATACATTTTTTTTAAGATAGCATAGATGTATCCTTCGCTGCCTTTGATATCCCACAATCCTGTGTGTACCATTCCGCAACAGCAAAAAAATAAAGATGGCATCTGAAAATTGCGGTTGGTCAATTTCTGTGTAAATGTTCCACTTTTGATGTCATTTTTAGCTAAAACATTACTATTGAAGTAATTAAATGTTTGCTTAGTTATCACCAAAGCTGTATTTTGTTGTAGATTATTAAACTGTTTTTCTGCCTTCTGTCTGTTCGAAATCAGTTACCTTTGTGCACAAACGCTGCCTGCAAAGTCATTGCCTGATAAGGCAGCGAGGCTTTCAGACGCTGCCTAGATTTCCAGGAACAGGATTGGGCACCCCTGGTGTATAAAATTTGTATATCTACATTGGTTGGCTGAAATACTGTAGTAGAGAGATAAGAGAAAAGAAAAGATTCATATTCCGCTGTGGTACTGAAATCATTAGGCGCATCAGACAACACAACATTCATGCATATGCTTAGTTGTCATTCAGTACATAGTGAATGCCACTTATGAGAATGAATGAATGAATGGATTCAGACACAGCTCTAGACACTACTGCGCTTTGCGTATAACATTCACATTCATCCATATGAATTATCACAGTTATCACACCACATATTGATTACGTAAATTGGATTGAGTTTGTTTTTAAAATTTTTTTTTACTATTGATATGCTGATTAATTAATTAATTAAATAATTAAATAATTATATTTATATTTGTATTCCTTTTACATGTATTATTATTAATTTTATTTTTTTATATTTAATTGTTTAAAATTAATTAATTATTAATAATTGATTAATTGACAGCCGACATGTATGCCAAAGAAATCAGCCTGTCTGAACATACAGGCATGACCTGTTTTTTTGGGAACACACTGTCTATTTAGAGCAACACTAGGGCGTTCTTTTCAACTGAGATGTGTGAAAATAGAAGGAAGATTGAGAGGAGGTTGGAGCGATACATAGGGATAGAGAAAGAGAGGAGTTGAGTGTCTTCTCTGCATAAAAATGTGAAATATTTTCTTGGGAGGTCCCTGACACACAAAGCCAAAGTGTTCTCAGTAAGAAAGTGAGTGTGTTAGAGACGGGCAGAAAATGTAGATAATGAAAGGATGAGAGCCAGAGGAAGACAGATCGAGAAGGCAAAGAGGCGTAAAGGGTGATTTAGTGGGAGGAAAGGAATTAGAGAGAAACGGAAAGAGGGAATGGAAAGATTAAGATGTGAATCAGGTTGATTGTTTCAAATAAGTGTAGCAACGGATGTAACTAATGGTGCCCAAAAGTGAGCTTTGCAGGTGTGTGTGAGTTTATATAATAATCACTCATGTGAATGGCGCTTGAGCTGAAAAAACTCCTGTAGAATAAAATGCGTGCGTGGGTTCATGCATATGTCTGAGACCACAGTTCCACTTTATTTGCCTCTCAACTTTCAGTGATTATTGACTGCTGAACTTTGTGCTTGATTGCCTATTAATCACAGAAAGAATTTAAAAAATATATAATCTCATAGCACACTTTTAATGTGATCCACAAGTCTGCTTGAAACAATTTGATTTTGAATGTGAGTGTTGGATCAATAGTCTGTTGTTAGAAATCTCTCCTTGTTGGAGCTCTGCCATCCTCACCGATTAGGAATGGAAGAGGCCGAGGGTAACAGACTAAATGGCTGCCTCTGGCATTTCTCTCCCATTACCTGTTATGTATAACTGTGGTCCATTTTGCAAGCAAATCAATGTGAAATAAAAAAGAGGTTCCATGCTAACATAAACAATTGCAATAGACTAACTAAATCATGGAGTTTTATCCTTCAGGGCTGTAATACTGTATATATTTCTGCTCAATATTAGTGAGAAAAAAATCACATTAATTAAACAACAGACTATTCTGCCTCCACTTTCTTAAATTTATTTGTCATTTAAGTTTACAAGAACCCCCAAGACACACGATTACTTTTTAACATTCAGTGTTTGTGAAATGGACTGTAGTTTTGTGACATACTTTTAAAAAGAGTACTTATTTCGTAAATTAATTAATAAACTGAATGCCATGTTTACAGGAAATTAAACAAAAATGCATTATAGTTTAAATCTATTAGAAATGCAAAGCTTTGAGCTTTAGAGGGGTTTTAAAAGTGTACTTAATGGTGTTTAGATTACATTTGTGTTTTTTTGTGTTTAATGCTATATTATCTTATTATATTTTATTATAAAAAATACTTGTAAGATTAAAAGTACACTACAAGTGCACAGTCAATTGTTACAGTACATGTGTTTTTGGTTTAGTCCTGTGACCCAGTTTTCCCCAGTCTGTCTAATTAGTCAACTCCTTCACCGGTGTCCTGTTAATTATCTCATTTTAGTTTATTTTGTTTGATCTGCGTATTTAGACTGTGTTATCACTTAGTTCTAGTTAATGTTAAACGTGGTTTTCTCCTGTTTCCTGAGTTTTGTCATTAAAGACCGTGTGATTTCCACTACCAGCCGATGTTACATCAATACAATGAAATGTACTTATTTTTCACAATGGCTTGACAGTTCTTAAGTGTAAGAAAAATCGCATTTGAAGAAGCTCATCCAAATCATTAAATAATGGATTCCGCACTCACAAATAACTTCTGATTTTATAATAATTATGTATATGAATGACTTCAAATCAGCTGGAAAAATTAGTTAGTGGAATGTCAGCTTTAATCTTAATCTACACAGTGATTGTTTCACTTTCTTTGAGTTGTTATGACTTTCATTGATTTAAATTTTCCACTGAAATGTTGTCTGAAATCTTCTGATGTTTGTGTACAGTGGCATCGCTAAGGCTTGGGTGGGAGCATATTTCGGTGCAGGCTCAGGGCGTGTATGGTTGGACGAGGTGAGCTGCACAGGAAATGAGATTTCCATAGAACAGTGTCCAAAAAACGCCTGGGGGGAGCACAACTGTGACCACACAGAGGATGCTGGAGTTTCTTGTATCCCACTTACAGGTATACACAAACACATATACAAGTATGGAGAAAACGTATGTGAGAAACCGACTACAGTTCTATTAAATTGCATGATATGTTTATAGGTTTGGGAACTGAGGGCCATTTGTTAAAGAATATCAGAACGTGACATTCAGTTCCACTGACTGTAGCTGCGTCCGAAATGTGACGTATGTGACAAAAGCAGTATGTCCAAATTCACAGTACTGATAAAACAGTAGGCAAAAAAAGTACCTGGACGAACTTCTACTTCCAGATAAATTCTGGTGTGCATATGATACTATATAGAACATATTTACTCAAATTTAAAATAAGTACCTACTCAAGAGAGTATGCGATTTTGGACGCAGCCAATGTTTCCTGCAGTAGTACTACAGCACCGCAACACTTTTGAAAATAACGCTTGTGGAAATAATACCATAAAAAATGTGAACTGAATGAAATGTTTTTGAATAAAAATGGTAATTTAGAGTAGCTGAAAAATTATATTGTAATAATATTAATTATATTAAATTCAATTAGCTGAACTTTCAAGTGATTTTTTGTAAGACTTGTATTGTTCAGCCAAAATGAAAATTCTGTCATAATTTACTCACCCTCAAGTTGTTCCAAACCGGTATGAACTTCTTTCTTAATCTGAACACAAAAGAAGATTTAACCAAACAATTGATGGCCCCATTGACTTCTATAGAACCCCCCCCCCCCCCCGACCCCCCACCCCCATACTATGGAAGTCAATGAGGCCCATCAAATGTTAAGTTACCCATATACATTTAAAACATTTAAATCTATCATCGATATCACATTTATGAACAGGTACTTACATGTGCTTTAGTATGAGAGTCAACACATCAAAATAAATGTACTTCTTAAAATGTACTTTAAAAAAGAAAACTGTTAATTTAACATTACAAAGTGTTAAGAATGAAAAAAACACATTTTTTTTTTATTAGTATTATTGTTTATATATACTGCTGCTAATCCTCCTACGAGGTGGGGGTGGTTACTCGTTGGTGTTTATTGTTGTTTTTTCCCCTCTTTTTCTTCCATCATTCACTTACATGCAGGGACAATAATGTGTAAAAAGAAGAAAGGACAGACAGCATTTTCTCTTTAATGTTTGTCTGTTTTTTTTTTTTGTCTGTACAATAAAAATGAAAGAAAAAATTACTTTTAATTAGTAAAAACTTTAACGTGAGAAAAAAGAAAAGAAGGCACAGAGGGATTAAATACACAGGGGAACATCATTAACAGACCAGGAAACAGGTGAGAAGTAATTAGAAACCATGACAACTAATGAATAAATTTGATCACAGGCAAAACAAGTGACAGAGAAAACCAAACAGATCATAGCAATGAAACTAATCAGAACATGACTGGCATAAATACACTTAAGTGGACCTAAATTTAATTAATATTATATGATCTGCAAGTACAGTTTTAAAAAAACACTTTTAAGAATTGAAGTACATTACAAGTGCACTCCTTTTCAGAACTAGTTTTGTGAGTGAGCAACTCTTATAAGTTAATTATTTTCAGTGAATCAAACCATACAAGGATATCCGTGTACCCTAACTGATTTTGAAATGAAGGACTCTTATGAGCCAGTTCTATTTATTTAATTTAATCAAATGCATACACTTTACAACTTAATGTTGAACTTATTTTTTAAAACATATTTTGCCAGGATTGTTTTATATGTATGTTTACCTGAGGTCGATGTTAATACCAGGTCTAAAAGGAGTCCGTCTCTTTCTTTTTGAGATGGTGCAGTGCGTCTGGTGGGTGGTGTGAAGGGTTATGAAGGGAGACTGGAGGTTCATTACAGTGGTCAGTGGGGGACCGTGTGTGATGATGGCTGGACACAGACTAACACGCAGGTCGTCTGCAGGCAGCTGGGCTTCAGGTAGCACACAAACATGATGCAACATTAAGTTACTTGATTTGATTGCTAGTGTGTTTATCATTTACAGCTTTGCTAATGCTGTTGTGTTGATGCAGGTCAGGGGAGAGTGTGTCACCAGGGCGGTTCGGGATGGCGGCAGGTCCTATTCTCCTGGATGATGTCAGATGCACAGGAAAAGAGCCCAGCGTCACACAGTGCATCCGGAGGGGTTGGCTCAAACACGACTGTACTCACAACCAAGACGTAGCCATTGTGTGCAACTCCCAACGCTCCAGACATGGAGTGCCCATTAGTAAGTGCTCCGACACTTTCATACTCACACACTTTAACCACCTTATACATTCTCTCTAATCAGAGATGAAGGAACAATTCAAACACTGAGGGAGACATAAGTCTCATTAGCCATAAATCTGACATTGCCTATGAAAAAGCTGATTATGTTTTAAAGTTTGAAACCTAAACTTGCAGAAATGTCAGTCATTCTAGTATTCTAGTCATTCAAACTTTGTTGCAACAACTATGTTTCTTGTCTTCTCTGACTGACGTTTCTTAACTTCAGTGGATAAATCAGCATGTGATCCTGAAGACTAGTAGTAATGTACAGTAGTAATGGCTCCTTAAAATGCTGCATTGCCATTACAGGAGTAAAATACATTTTAAAATATATTAAAATAGAGAACAGTTAAATTGTAGTAATATTTCACAATATTACTGTTTTTACTGTATTTTAAATCAAACGTATGCAGCCTTGGTGACCAGAGGACACTTCTTTCAAAAACATTTGTTATTATTTCAAACTTCTGACTAGGAGTGTACAGATAGATTAATGTTATTTAAACTAAGCTTTAATAGTTATAGTGTCTTTCTGCAGAACACTTTTTTTGTCTAATTATCCGTTTTTTTTGAGTATTTTTTGAGTAATGACAACTTCAAATGAAATGATGTTCAACCAACAAATGATAGTGTGTTAAAAGTAATTAATATTGAGTCTATTTCAGTTACAATCAACAGCTATTACAGCACATGCTTAATATAACTTATTTAGCATGTATGTTTAATGAACAAGATATTATTTATCACTGGCCTTTGCCAATATAGTTAATGTAGTGTTTAACTCCATACAGTCTATTCATCAGCACAATGGTAACCATAATAAACTCTTTTAAACAATATTAAACACTAACAGGCCTTTCCCTTCACTAAAAATAAATAAAATAATACTTAATCTCAACATTTAGTCTCCTTATCCTGTCCTATGCAAAGCATGCTGGGAACTAGAAATCTACCCAAATTGCAGGTATCAAGATAATTTCTTTAAGTAACTACTATCAATGCAGAAATTTGAGTTTAAATGTCACACAATATTAAGTTAATGTAATGATCAACATAATGTCAACAGAACTCAATAAAATAATGGTTCCAACTTAAAAGGTTTAACTAAATCAATAAATTAGAATTTTAAGCTTGAATTTAAGTTGTGGTAAAAGGTTCCCTTAATTACGTTTTACAGTGAAGGTTACATTACACTCACTACTGAATATATATGTATGCAAAATCCACACATACAGTTAAAAAGATCTTTAGTATCTCTCTAATATCTCAGAACTCTTTGATTCAGCATAATGTTTTAGCCAGCTCAAGACTGATTGAACAAGTACAGCTAATGGCCAGGGGACATGAAGTCAGACGTTTAACAAGTACAGCTGCCACTAGACTTATCATGACTCATTTAATAAAGAGCTGATGATTTTACCTGATCCAGACAGACACACATTTATACACATACATATAGAAAACACTTCTACACTTCCAGATGTCAGAATTCGCTTCATTTTCAAGATTATAACTCTAGGTTAAAAAAATAACTTAAGTTAATTTAATACAACAAATTAAATAAACAATTGCTTTTAAAGCTGCAGTCTGCCGAATGTTTTGCTCAATCTTATTGGCTGATCCTAAATCTTTAAAGCCCGTTTTCTCAAAATGACTTCTCTCATACTCCAAGTCCGAAATCTCCACTTCAGTAGCACCTATGCACACATCAAACTTTTTATTCTTGTACCTAGTTATATTATTACAGAGGGATTTGTAAATATATTATTTCTAGCCTGATTTATATAACATTATTCCAAAAGAAAATGGCAAAAATCTTTTTTTAAGGCTATTGACAGTATATGGTAAATGGACTGCATTTATATAGCACTTTCACATACCCAATGGGCACCAAAGCGCTTTACATTTTTGCTTCCCATTCATACACTCATTCTTACACCGACGGTGGTGTCAGCCATACAAAGCGCCATCTACAGTAGTTCGTGGGGAGCAGCTGGGGTTAGGTGTCTTGCTCATGGACACCTCCACACTTGGTCAGGTGGAACCGGGGATTGAACCACCAACCTTCCGGTTTGTAGACAATCCCTCTGTAATTTTTTCCCCATCTAATATGTGAACACAATGAAAAAAGAATTTTGAACCCGGCTTCATCCAATACTCAGATTTCAGTTTTTAAATAAATTCAAATGAGTGCATATTTAATTAGATAAAGCATAATTTGCATATTTGAACATTAAATTAATGTAGGTAATCATCTGTTTAATGATGATATCTGCTATTTAAAAAATTACCCTATTCACCTGTAGTGTCTCGCCTTAATTTACATTAAGACACAGGGTAACTAAATTATAATTTTGCAGAGAGTTTATCATTCACGTGAATAAAATATCACTGTGAATAAAATATCCAGACGTAACATTACTTTTACATTATTTTGCAGCTTTTCTCTATCTCAGTTTGATTCCAACTTTCCCCCTCTATCCCAGAGCCCTTTTGTAAAATGCAGCAGAGAGAGAAAGAGAATAGTGTGTAATAGATCTTTATGGGCAGCCGGCCAGTCAGAGTGTGAATAACAGAATGAGTGACAACAACGGAATTGGGAAACGGTGAGGAGTGTGTCACACATAAACACACTAGAAACTATTGTTTGTGTGTAAATGCCTGCTGCGGTCCTTTTTCCTGCACTCTCTGGCTGATTTATTGACTTTGGGCAGAGCAGCTGATGCTTTCAAGAGACTCACTATAGAGGAGATCTCCTGTTTAATTAATCTTACTCACACAGGAATTCAGATGAGTGTGTTTTTGTTCATGTATAATACGTTTTTTTTTGTATTCTTATTAAACACACATTTCAGTATTCATACAGTGTTGGCGGATAACACATTACAAGTAACGCGAGTTGTGTAATCCGATGACTTTTTCAAATAACTAGTAAAGTAACGCATTACAACAAAATATCAAAATTACTTTTTCAAATAAGTAACGCAGGTTTCTTTGTTTTTTCTCATTTATTGACTGACACCTACCCTGTCCCCATGGTGAGAGATATCTGGAGTGAGGTGCAGAGGTGTTGTGTGTGTGCTGTGTAAACATGATGGTTATTGTTGTTCTAGACTACAATAAACAAGTTACGACTGTAACCATAGTTCCCTGAGAAGGGAACTCGCACTGTGTCGATGACCCTCTGGGAACAATAGGGCCAAACGCCATGCTCACAAGTAGGCTACCTGTTGTGTGAGAGCACAACTACGACATAAGTACCTGTGAACCTGGAGCAGCATCTAGGTCCAAGTTGTAAAACCTTACGAAATTGAGCAGAGAGAGACAGCCCGCTGCATGACGGGCGTTTTGAAGGGGGACCCTTGAAATTAAGGGCTTGGTGGCCGCCATACTTGTGGTAGAAGAGCTCTGACAGCCAAAAGTGACGGCTGGCCAGAAGCTTAATAAGCAAGAAAAATTGTCTCAACTATCCATTTGCTGAATGTCTGTTTGGACACAGGGAGCCCCTTTTTAGGCGATCCAAAGCAGACAAACAGCTGATCAGGTTTCCTCCACAGGGCAGCTCTGTGGACATAAGTATTAAGCGCTCTAACTGGACAAAAAAGGTTTAGCTTTTGCTGGACATGATTCTGAAAAGAGGACAGAATGCCTGCAAAATGCCTGCCATGGTACGTTGGTCGGACCTTCGGAAAATAGCCTGTCTTAGGGAAAAGAAATGGCTTGACCATCCCTGGTGCAAACTCAAGGCATGTGGTGGGTACCCACAGAGCTTGAAGATATCCTACTCTCTGTAGTGAAGAGATGGCTAAAATGAACACTGTTTTTAAGGTCAGAAACTTCTCTGGAACTGCATGAAAGGGCTCGAAGGGAGCTGCAGATAAGCCTTCTTGTACAACAGCCAGGTCCCAAGCTGGAACTCTGGTATAAATTACAGGCCTTAGCCTCAAAGTGCCATAAAGAAAACGTGTTATCAAAGGGTTTCTCCCCACAGATACACCACCCAAAGTGACGTGGTAAGCAGCTATACCCGCCACAGAAAAACGATCTTGCAGGAACTGTAGTACTGAACCATCTGGGCAGGTAACCCACAGGTTCCATATCTCTGAGCGGGGGAGAAGGATCACTCCTCCCGCTTGAGATAGAAGGTCCCTCCTGGCCAGATCTCCAGGGAGAGCCGTCAAGGAGGGTCACCAGGTCAGGGTTCTCAAACCACGTCAGCCCCTACCCCCTCACCATCGTCCAGGTGCCTCAGCAGGTCAGCCTGGTATGCCTCTAGTATAGACATGGTGTGCAGAAATGTACCAGCCTGGCCTGCTGCCATGTACACTTTACCCACTAGCGCAGATGTTGTTTTTAGGGGCATAGTGGGTAGCGTCGGGGTCTTCAGGGTCGATGCTGAACTAGGGGACAGGTGGTTTGCAAGCGTCTGTTCCACCTTCGGCATCACCCTATTACCATTCACCCAATCCCTTGATATCAAAGTAGACATGTACTTGAGGACTAAACAAGTGTGCAGAGTATGATTTATTCCACAACCTTTATATTTCTTTGTGGAGATTGGGGAAAAAAAACAGATGTCCTGGTGATGGAGGTACTTTGTTTGGTGTTAGAAAGCGCTTTTAGGTCGTGCGCCCTGTTTCTCGTCTGGCCAATCAATGTTCAACTCAGACACAGTGCAAGAAACTACCTACACCAGCTGCTCATATGCAGGTGAAAGAGATGGTGAATTCTCTATCCATGTCTCGATGCTCATCACATTCACTTCCTCAGAACTGGACAGCTGCATCACCGGGGTCTCCACCAGGGCGGAAGAAGACGCAGCATGGGCTTTCGATCCCTGAGAGAGTGCTGGATCCCCCAGGTAAAGGCTGAGAAAGGGCAGAGCCCATTTCAAACCCCTCCGAGAAATCCATTTGCGAACCCCACAAGATCCGCAGGGAATGCGAAGCTGACTATGCTATCTCACGACCAATTCGTACGAATTCGTACGAGTGATTTCAAAAGTGGATAATTCGTACTAATTCATACGACCTCACTCGTACGAATTTGTACGATTTGTCTAAACCCACGGGACGGTTATGTTTAGGGACGGGGTCAGGGGTAGGTCATTCGTGCGAATTCATACGAATTGGCTAATTCGTAAAATATGTACGATTCAACAAAATCGTACTAATTCGTACGAGTGAGGTCGAACGAATTGTTACGAATTAGCCACCTCATAAAATTCGTACGCATTCCCGTGAGATCGGGTTGAAGCTGAAGCTGTTTCTGCCTCGCTATTGGACTAGTTGACGCGAGCTTCAGACTCAACCACGTAGATGCGTTCGTAGAGCATCATCGATGCAGTGCAAGTGTATAAACCTATATGGGTGCATGCAATATACTTTTTTTGTGTTTGTGTTAATTACTATTGACCTACACAAAGATATTTAAAATAAAATTAAAATAGTTTTTGTAAGTCAACTTTTTTTTGTATTTCTAGTATTACTTGAATTCATCTTACATCATACACACACATGTGCACGGACACACACAGCTTCCTCTGTCAAGTTGATGGCTCTATGAAAATGTGGTGAGTGTGACTGGGAAACTTTCAGGGATTGAATAATGTCTCTTTCTCTCTGAATGAACTTAAATTTAGTTCCCATTTTCCTTTGAGCCACATGGAATCCATAAGGGTTCACATGGAATCTGTGCCCACAAGACAGAATTTCCACAGAACCGGAACACCCATCTCTTTTTAAGTCATTCATCTCAATAGTAATACTCTCAGCTCTGTTTTAACACATGTTTAAATGCATTCTGCAGAAATTGATGTCAGTTTTGCTGCTATTGTGATTCATTTTAACATGAATTATTATTCTACATCACATCTATGTCTCTATCTATCTTACTCACACACCAGAAAACCTTCTATACTGATGAAAGATGACCATATATACATAAACACTGTATATATGGTCATATATGGTCACTCGAGTTCTCACTCTCGATATGCACTCAGCAGAAACACGATATTTGGATGTGTCTAAATAAATAAAACCCCTCTGAGTTGCCTTTGTTTTTTTTGGAGTGTTTTTCATGACATCTCATAGATGGAGTTGATGAAAAGTAGAGACCATCTGAAAAAACAATTTAGCAGGGTTCATTATGGTATGCTATTGTATGTGTGTGCGTGCTGCTGGTGCTGATGGCTTTATGAAGTATTTGATTTAATAAAAAAGGTACTTGAATAGCGGCTGACCAATGAGACATGACTGTGAGAAATGAAGTTCATGTTTTAGGAATGATTAGTAATGCAGTTGTTCATAGCTGTATGTTCTTGTAATGTATATACAATGTTACACGGACATATGTAGTAGAGTGACAAACCATAAGAACTTGTGAAAAAATAATAATCAAACACTAAATCCAATATAATCCAAGCCTGTAGGCTGTGTATGGTTGTCACACAATAAAGCACATTAATATGGAATTCAGCTATTGAGCAGACATAACTATCCGTAATTGTCCAATCAGACTTTTGAGTCTGAACTAACAGCTTTACAAACAAACTTGTTGTTAAATTCCTAGTCATTTTGGTTGCAAATGTGTATGAATGTATGGTTAGTAAGTATTTTTTTCTTTTTCTTGAACGGAGAGTGTCGCTGATATTGCTGATGGGCCAGTAGCTGATGATTGATTGCGTTTATGTGTATGTCTGCCTCTGTGTAATGTGTAAGTGGAGGCAGATGTTTCATGAATGGAAACCTAAAACTCTCCCTTCTGCACCAGGTGTTTTTTATGGTGTCTCTTACTGTGTAATACACATACAAACTCAAAAATGTGGACATAAGATGTCTTTCCACAGCCTGCCTAATTTCCTCTATTCTTCCCCTCATCTTTTGTGCTCCACAGAAGAAAGTCATTTCTGAAAGTCAAAGAAATATCTGCTTTTTTTGTACATACACTGGAAGTCAATGACCAAAACTGTTTATTTACCAACACATTTATGTTAGTGGATCCAGATTTGCAAAGACATGAAAGTTAGTGAAACTAAATTGTAATTTTTGGTTGAACAATCACTCTAAACTTCATTTTACAGAGCATATAAAGTATATCTAATGTTTTATTGCCTATTAGCAGTCAACTGCTGGATTAAACCTACAGCCAATCAGATCTATCTAAATACTGAACCACTATACTACAACCTGCTGATCAAAGCTAAATGCAGCGTGTGTGCATTCATATATTTTGTTGTATCTGTCAGGTCTACCTGTGAGACTGGTTGGTGGAGAAAATGAGAGAGAGGGGCGTGTCGAGATCCTGGTGGGTGGCCAGTGGGGGACAGTTTGTGACGACGGATGGACGGATCGTGATGCAGAGGTGGTGTGCAGACAGCTAGGTTACAGGTGAAATCAACATGTTTGGGTAATCTGAACAACAGTTTATGTTCATGTAATGTGTTAGCAAATCTAAATGCCATTAATGTGATTTTTTTTTTGCATCCACACTAAAAAACACACTAAAGCAGTAAACTCAAACTAAAGAATGCAGGTTTGATGATAAACTTTGAAGTTGGCTTGAGAAGTTAAGTGTGAAGGTTTTATAGTCATAATAAAAATTCAGATGAAGACAGGAAAACCATTTTAGACCTATTTGTCATGATTGCTGTCATGTGTTTTAGTGACTCTTAGTTTAAAGTGAGTTCCTATTGTTTTTGTTCACTTCCTGTGTTTAACCCGTTTCATACATATTCCGTTTGTTGCTTGTATGCGGTGCGCGTTGCAGTGTGTATGCAATACAGGCGCAGCACATGCTCATGTACTTTGCGCGACTGATCCGCTGTATACCACAAACACTACATTTATTCCTTATTTTTATTTCAAATCCAAAAGTTGTTACTAAAAAATGTTTGTCAGAATTGAAATTATCTTTGTACACAGGACAGTTATACAGTCTTCCATAGACTTATTCACATTTAAACACAACATTTTTAAGGTTAATGAAATCCCAAAGCACATTTTTGAGATGTAAACAGATATGTACAGCCAGTGTGAGCCAGTCACAGATGCTGTGATATTTTCAAGCCGATCACAATGCAGATGGTATAAACGGAAAAATCGTAAAAAATCTCTAATTGGTCTAATTGGATCATATTATGATCCAATTAGACCACAAGATCACTAAGAAATCACATCAGACCCAGAGATGTATAGTAACGAAGTAGAGCTACTTAAGTACTGTACTTAAGTACTAAAATGCTGTATCTGTACTCTACTAGAGTATTGTTTTTTTGTCATACTTTCGATGAATTTAATACTTTTACTTTGATATTTTTTTTAATGTTCTGCTAGTTACTCGTTACAATTATAAAAATTTTACGAATCATTCGTTGCAAGTTGGCTTTCATGCTGCCTAAATCACACACCAGTTTTATAGGGTAATGGTATTGACTGACACACACATTGTCAACTAATGCAGGGGTTTTCCTGCAATGACATTTTTTTGGTGGCCGCCAAAGCAAATTTGTATCCAGCCAAAGCGCATTATTTGATTGCTAGTTCAAACTTTTGACTGCTTTCTTTAATAATTACATGACACAATACTTGTACTTTTACTTTTAGTACTTAAGTAGTGAATTTTTAAATAAACTACTTGCAATACTTAAGTACAAAAAATGTTGAATACTTTACTACTTCTACTTAAGTGTGGTGTTAAAGAGCACTTCAACTTTTTTAATAGAGCACTTGTACTTTTACTCAAGTCCGGGTTTCTAGTACTTTATACATCTCTGATCAGACCACATTTCTAGGCACTGATGGTGATAACATGTAACATGTTTAAAACATGTCACTAACATATTTTAACACGTTGCTAGCATGTTTTGACACATTATTTTCTAGCTAAATGTATTAGAACTATAACCTGACTATTCTATTCACTATTTTTATGACATATTGCTCTAGGATTAAGATTAAGACTCTAAAACCTTGTGTTGTAATGTTGCCAAATGACACACACATAGTGAAATATGTTTGGAAGAACAGAAAGAGAAACATTTTCTATCACAATAGGAAATTTATTTCACAATAAATGAAACGCTCTGGACTATTTCATCAATGGTTTGTTTTTCTTGTTTGGAAGTGATAATAATGTTTTATAAGTTCAATTATGAATCATGCACGTGTTATTGTTTAACTCAGATTACAAAACTAAGAAGACTGTCAGATTTACACACACTAATGTGATCAACACCTTCGCTCATGCTCACCTCCTGGGGTGGTGGGGGGTCAGAGGTCAGAGGTCAGGTTATTGCACTGTAACTGATGCTCTTATCTGATGAGCTCAGCTCTCTCAGCTGGAGTTGGCTAAACTACAGGATTATGATCAATCAGCACACATCTCAAGCTTTTACACAACAGCAGTGGTACTTTAGTATAATTTATGTACAATTACAGTATTTAATAATAATTTGAATGAACATTAATTTTAATATTTTGTTCTCATTTTAATTTTAGTTTAGGTTATAGTCGTTTTGTTTTGTTGAAAAATTTCTAATTTTAAAAGTGAATTTATTCAAATAATATTTCTATATTTTTTCAGCTTTATTTAAATTAATGACAACAAGCAATTTAAATGAACATTTTTTGAATAATTTTAGATTTAGTTTTCCTTCACAATAACATTACACAAGAACAAAAATTAACCAAATGTGTCTTTTACTGTCATTCTTTTGCAGTGGGCTGGCTAAAGCTCGTGTAATGGCGTATTTCGGTGAAGGCGAGGGGCCTATTCACATTGACAACGTAAAGTGTACGGGAGGAGAAAATTCTCTGACTGACTGTATCAAACAGCAGTTTGGGACACACAACTGTCGCCATAGCGAAGATGCCGGTGTTATTTGTGACTATGGGTTACAGAAGGATTCTGCTGGGGTCAAAGGTGGGACATTCTTCTTGATTCTCTCATAGCTACAACATTCACGTACTGTATGTGACACTGGCAAGGTTTGTTTCCCAAACCTGAATGAATTTCTCTCTTTCATGGAACATTATAGGACTAGTTTACCAGAATGTTTATGCAGCTCTTTTCTATACAATAAAAGTTTCAAGATTAAAAAAATGACATAAATCCATAATAGTACAACTTAAACTGAATTAAGAAGAGCAGTGCGAACATTTGGCCTAACATCTCATTTTGTGTTCTTACAGGTAACAAAAAAAATTCACATGGTTTAGGAAAGACAGGAGGGGGAGTAAATTATTACAGAATTTTCATGTTAGGATTTCTTTTAAGCACATTGAATGAACTGCAATTGAATAAACAGACATTATTGGACTTCACAAAATTATCTGACTTCATTGTAATTGCTGGTCAAAAGGGAAAAATGTAAAAAGGGAAAATGTACATTTTGAAGCACAGGTAAATGTGGTGTCCTGGAGAGTGATATATTTAGAGATCCTCGCACCTGTAAAAATACTTGAATCCATTTAAAAGCAAGAGTGAAAGATGAAACCTATCAGATCAGATCTCTAGTTTGGGCTGGAGTGCAGTATGTGTTATGTCTGCTCTAAAGGATGTGGTTTGGCTCGCCATCTCATGATCACTGGCACTTAGACTTTATTTATGCTTTATTATTCTTACCAATCTAATAACTCGCTAGTTTATCCGGCCTGCAGTGCTTTCTTCATTAAACCCTGAAGGACACATAAACTACACACACATCTTTTTGTGTGTTATTATATGTTATACTAATCAACATTCTTAGGTCCATACACACACACACACACACAAATGGATGCACAAAAACATGCTCATGTCCCATTTCACCCCCAAATCAAAAAGATAGAGAAAAATAAAGAATTTATATTGTGTATCTCATTAATTCCCCATTATTTTCAGTGATACTTTTCAATATAACCTTATAGTACATTTTTTGGTTACACATTAGAGTCCAATTCTCACTATCTATTAACCATGACTTTTGCCTAACTCCTAATTACTTCTTATTAATTGTTAGTTAGGTAGTTTAGTTATTGTAAAGGTAAAGTTTAGGTATTGGGTAGGATTAAGAGATGTAGTGGTCATGGAGAATAAGGCATTAATATGTGCTTTATAAGTACTAATAAACAGCCAATGTCATAGTAATATGTATGCTAATAAGCAACTAGTTAATAATGAGAATTGAACCCTATACTAAAGTTTTACCCATTTTTCTTTAAACAAGCATAAAGGCAGTACAACAAACACTGACATGATGTAAATAATACTGTTACTATTAATTATATAAATTGTTTAATACCTAAATTATTAATATTATAAACACACTTCAATGAGAAGATTCCTAGGCTTCATTTTCCATTTACAAAATATATTTTTTTTACTTATGTATTCTGATTTGCTGTGAAATTGAACCAAGGCAGATGTTCCTAAAAGGTTTCGTGAGATTCACCCATACATGCTTTATAGAAACATGTGTTTGCTTCACATTACAGAGGCAGTGAGCTCCATGTGTGGTCTAAGACCCTCTCATACCCGTCAGAAGAGAATAATAGGAGGGGAAAACTCTATACGGTAAGCAGAGAGGGTCAAAATGTATACAAACATCTTTGACATGAATTACACATTTGAAAATAATTGTTAATGTGGTCGAAATGAGAAAATGGGTGTGTAGAGCGGATAAAATGGAAATTTATAGTGTTTGTGTGTGTGTCTGTGTGGTGTAGTGGGGGCTGGCCATGGCAGGCAGCTGTGCGTATGCGGGGGTCTCAGGCAGATGGAAGGTTGGTATGTGGAGCCACTTTGATAAATAGCTGCTGGATCCTCACCTCGGCTCACTGTTTTAAAAGGTACTTACACACATACATTTGGACAGGTAGATCTTCATTCTGTATCACATCTGCAAGGCATAAAAGGAGCACACACAAATATGTACACACACTTCTTTCTTATGTTTCCAATTTTCCACTGTGACTCACACAGCTAGATAACACAAATAGGCTGAAATACAAACTAAACATAATTCTAATTGTCTATTTTAAACAACATTCCTTCCCATTCCTCTGTAGCTTGTACCCATTTATGTAATCATTATTTGTGACTTGCAAATAAACACTCTTAATCATTCTAGCTGCAAAACAAACATAGTTAAATAGTTCCAGTAATTCAAATTCAACAACAAAGGCAGCGCAACCAAATCAAAATATTCGCCATTTAGTGAAGATGTCACACTGCAAAAAACATCAAATATACCCTTAACTTTTTCCTTGTTTTCTAGTAAAAATAGACAGTATCTACATCTTTTTACATTTAAAAAAATAAAATTATATATATATATATATATATATATATGAAGAGTTCAGATGCAAAATCCTCTAAATGCCATTTGAAATTTTCTTCTGTAATGATGATTTAATGAAATGATTTAATGATTTAATGAAACTTGTATATTTAAGTTCAGTAATTTCACTTAAATAACAATTAATAGGTAATTATCATTGTCATTTAAGTGAAATCACTGAACTTAAATATACAAGCTTGATAAAAATGATCATTCTAGAAGAAAATTTCAAATGGCACTTAGAGGCTTTTGCATCTGAACTCTTCAGATATATATATATATGTGTGTATATATATATATATATATATATATATATATATATGTGTGTGTACATAGTTTTTAAATTTAAAATGAAATGTAAAGCTTAAGTAATTTGTGTGGTCGACTTCATCTACATTACTTTTACTATTAAGAATGAAAACATTTCTCTCTCTTCCTGAACACTACAGAAATATGGAGTGCTTTCTTCAGCATTATTTAAGGATTTTAGAGCACTCAAGGCAAAATAAGTAATTTATAGGAAAAAAAAAGTATTTATAGAAAAGAAAACCCACATTTGACTTTCATTAACACTATTATATTTGTAGATCCACAATGTGGCAAAATTGTAAAATGAATTCCTAAAGTAATAATTTAAAATAAAACAATAATTGAAATAAAAATCTTTGCAAAACTGAGCCTTTTAGGGCATATTGCAGGTTAGAGGACCCAAGGAGTCAATGCATAGATTTTCTTAAAATGTACTTATAAATACACTACAGAAGCTTCTGGAGTCTTTTTTGTGAGAAAATTTTACTTCCGCGTCTGAAAATGGGCGTGACTTAACGGGCGGGAGAGCGGTCGATTCAAACAACAGAAAAACAATGGATCGCAATGACATTTCGGACACTGAGGAAATACTCGTATGACGGACCAAGCCATTAAGTTATGAGCCTACTATGCTAAAGAGAGCAGGGACAGGCCAGGATAATGTTAGACAGAACGGTCAGAGACAAATTGAGTTGTAGTGTGAGGAGAACCAGTGGAGAACAGGACAGATGTCTTTTGGTGAGAGACGTGATTATAGATACACGTTCGCTAGCTATATACACTGTGTTCACAATTTTGTACGGATTATTATGATCCTATAACTGGCCAGCAGACATTAGTATGTTTAGGGTAGATTTATACTATTAAATGTATAAAAACTATACTTGAGTATATTTCTATTGTAGCCTACTAAAAGCATACTCAGGTACATTTTTAAATACATATTTTTGATTTAATAATACAAAATTTAAGATTTGAGTATTTAAACAACCAATTTAGTTTTTCAATTACAAGTTGCCTCTATTTTCGGGCATGACTACCCATGTCACACTATTTGATTGGTACAGTATACGACGATCAATATGCTTGCTTCGGCATCCCATGTTGAACTCCGTGATATCGCCTGGATGATAATCATTTGATCTAAAGTGAACGGTACACACGACCACGTTTTCCACGAAATCCCTTCTCTTCACCTGCACAAACCGCACCAGGAACAAAAGATATAGGCTATAGCACTGTCCCTTTTCTTGTAATGGAAACTTGTGGACTCGATCTTGAAGTCATGACAGGCGGGAGTTTTTGCAACCTCCACAAACACAATAATTTACCATGACGATGATACATTAAAATACAAAAACTACCGAAAGCACACTGACTGATGACCGCTCTCACTGAATACCAGCCTACTCTGCACTGAGCCGAGGCTGAGGCTCCCTAACGTGACATAAAATGACGCGATGTTGGGGAAAAAAAAGCCGTTTTTACGAGCAGTCCAAGAAACGCTTACTTTATCTACTAAATTAGTGCCCTTATGTTGTTTTAAAATATTTTAAATCCTGCATTAACTTTTCATATGGTATTTTCATACAAGGTTATCTATAAATTTAGATTTTTTTTACTTGCAATATGCTCTTTAAGGGAAATTTGTTCCTCTCATGTGAAATAAGAAATTCGCTAGCTCAAACGGGGTATAGCAGGGCTGTTGTTTTGAATATTGCTAACTCAATGGCTTGTTGCTAAGCAATAATACATCCTATCTATCCCAAAAATGACACTACATGCAATTAGCCACAGACCCTTCATGCTACATTTGATGAATTTTCACCAAAGGGATAAAACATTTTAGCTGTTCACATTAAGGAAGAATAATAATAGTATGTCAGAGGAAAAGCAATAAAAAACATGTCCACACAAACACTTTCTGCTTCCCTTAAGGATCGGTCTAGTAAATGATCTGTCTTCAGTTCAGGTCTGAAACTGTGCTGCATTTCCACATTACTGTGAAGAATGTATGTTAGTGGCAGTTTCTTGAACCATTTAGGGTTACATTTTTTTTTAAAAAAGGGTCTCAGTAGAAATACGTTGGCCGTGTGAGTGTTTTAAGTAAGATTGAATCTGTTTTTTATCAACTAGTCCAAGCACTGAGCCCTCAGAATATGATCCATGACATCAGACTACTGCTAAAGTTTCGTCTAGTTACACGCTCTCCTACACAGAGCTATAAATCTAGATACCTTTGCGGCCCCCTCTCTCTTTTTCCTCGTACACGTACACAAACTTTTTCAAGAATGCAATTAATAGCATGCAGAACAGCATAACAGTTGTTTTAAATCATTTGAGATCATTTAGCTCGAGAGGACTAAAGTTAGTCTCTCACTTCCGAGTTTACAGAGGGTCACATGACATTTGTGTAAAAATAGCATGTACAAACACACACACACACACACACACACACACACACACACATTAGCTCTAAACTATTTTAATGCCGTGTGCCGAGTTGTTGGCAAAAATTAATTAAACTCTGGGGTTACAACCGACATGCTTTTAAAGCCCTAATGTCGGAACTGCCATAATGTACAACCTAAGAGTTTGATAGCTGTCAACAGATCCAGCTTCCGGTTTCTGAAAATCAGTTCAACAGAGTCTTTGACTAGTGAGCAAATGTGAGTAATAGAGTACTGAACTTTATCATTCATTGGCCATGTATAGAGATCTTTTAATTTGCTGGCAGCTGAAATTGTATACTTAATTGCAAATGCCAATTTCCTCTACATTTCTACATTTATATTGACTTTTGTTGTCAGTCTATTAACTCACTTAAAGTCTAAAAAAAATAATAGTTTAATCATACTATATTAAGTTGAAGTTGTAATTTCCAGGCCTAGAATAGTCATGAGTCAAATTACAATTAAACTTTAAAAATGTATTCAGTAAGGAAGCTTTAAACACAACAGCACATCTGTTTTCAATATTGATACAGTAATAGCATTATTAGAATGATTTCCTTTTTCATCAAATACTGTGTGTATATATATTTTTTTCCTAACATTTGTATAAATACATTTTTCAATAGACTACCATTTATAGATTCGATAAGGTAATACGCTGGAGAGTTGACCACGAACTGTAGGGATAATGGTTGGGGGTTGTTAATGAGAAATTATCCAGATTTGAAGCTGGGTTCAAGTGCAATATGTCAGAGCACTACCCACTTGGCCATGTCTCAGACAGTATATAACCTCATTATAACCTAATTGAGATCAGTATTTGGGATTAAAGTAAATTGTATATATTAAGCTTCTAATACTCACAGTGTCAGGCTCCAAACTGCCCTTTCCAGAGTGTCTCTGATGAAGGGACGTTGAGAATGTGGTGCTGATCCTGCCAGACTAAGAGTGTCATTCCGGACAGGGCAGATCCTTTTTCCAGAAAAGACCTGACCGTGTAACGGGACACTGCTGCCTCTCTCTCTGGCACCACATATATATTTCCGTTACACATCAATGGTTTCAATCACAAACAGACAGGGCACAAACACACACACACACAGAGTCACTCCAGTGCAAACAGATATTGATTCTGTGTATTCCCTTATCCTATACACATTATAAGGAAAATATTAATGTACTATAATAGTAATAGGCATTGTATGTTTTTTTCTACCCACCCTTAAGTTATATAAACTGCAAATGTGGCTGCCAATAGAATGCAATAATTGTAATTAATCTAATAATTTTCTTTTATATATATAATTATTATATATTTAAAATAAGTAAAAAACAACAACCTTACAGTATATTAAAGACTGGCAAGCACAGGATACTTTCTGTTTCATGCAAAAACCTTTGTGAGTGTGATGTCATGGTGTTGGGTTTATGGAAAAAGAAAACATACATAAAGTATCTATCTGTTTTCACCAACCGCCCGTGACTGTGGTTTTGCAAGTGTGTGTTTGTGAGTGCACATGGTTTGGCTTTGGGACCATAAGATCGGTTGACATGAAGTGAATCCTGGGGAAGGGACCGGATTTGTCATTTGAGGACTTATTTGAGTGGCACATACAGAAGTCGTAAATTCAGTCTTGCTGAATGTGTCCTGTCTGTATGGCCTCTCTTTCTTTTTTTTTTTTTTTTTGTAATTGTATTACCTTTTGCCGTAAATTATAATAGTATAGCCAATGTTAATGGCCTATACTAAATAAAATGACCTAAATAAATTAAAAATAAAACACTTAAACCCAAATATCCAACATTTTAAGTGCATTTAGGCATTACAATTGTATAATGTACAGCATAAAAAAAAAAACAATTTAAAAGATTTAATTGCATAAGAAAAATTTTGTGTTGTTCAATTTTTAGTATTTTTAAAGATTAACTTTAGGTGATCATTAGATAATGGAAAATGTATTCTAAATATAAAAATAGAGAATAAGCATGCACAAAACATTTTTCAGTTTTTTATTTAATCCTTGTGCTGCATTAGGGACATTTTTGGTTATTTTCAGTTTAATTTCTTAAATTTCTTCATTTTGGCTGTTTTAATGCAAATGCAGGGATGGACTGAGACTAAAAAACGGCCCTGGACTTTGACTAGGGCCCGGCCTAAAACAATCGGTATGCAGAAACTCGACAACAACAACAACAACAATAATGCCTGCTGCCTGACATGAGTGTCACAAGACTTTAATTGTGGCTCATGAGACTATAGACCATCTAAATGATAGCTAACAGCATATTACACAATCTATTCCATGCTGTCAATTAATTTATGCAGTAATTAATGTAACATATCCAACATTTTTAAAAGTAAAATCACAACGTATTTCGTAATATTAGCTACTGCATTTGGCATTTTACAGCTAAAATGTTGAAGTTTAGCTGTTTTAACTACTTTAATTATTAAAAAATGTAGCAAGCTGAATATCTCTTCCTAACATCATCCCTAGCAAGTAACTTGCAAAGTAATTTCTGATTAATTCGGTTTGGGAGTAGTAGAGATTATTGATGGGAATTTATAAAATTTTATTTAAATGCCACTAACGATTCTGCTTATCGATCCGATTCTTTAACGATTCTCTTATCGATTCCTGATAGCACTGTGTGTGAAAAAGTAGTCATATGCTTTTTTGGGGGAAAAACCTTACACTTGACTAAGCAAACTGTACTTTTTATGTAATTCATGTAATAAATGGAACCTTATTGAAAAGTTTGCCAATTGAACGTGTCCTCATCGGACGTGTGCGCGTTGTGTGACTATCCCGGCGGCTGGGACATCCCACCTAGGCTGGATCGTCACTGGATTGTTTTTTTTTTTCCCGTTTATTCAGAACGCTTTTCAGAGAAGAACAGGCAAGATTCAGGCAACGTAAGCCTATTTTAGCACAATTCAGAGACAGCGGTAATTCAGGAAAAACAAATCTCCAAATGCTCCACATGAAACTTTAGTCTCCTGACCTTACCATCGTGTCGATTATTTTTATTAATATGTGCGAGGGAGAGAGCAAGACAGCGCTTAGTTTTGAGACGGTGAAGCCTGAGAGAGAGTGCGCACGCACGACCGGGGCTCTCTCTCTCTCTCTCTCTTTCAGTTTAACATGCGCACTGTCACAAGTGCAGCGGTTCATCACTACAGAGAGAGACAATTTTACTCACCAATCAAATAAAGCTTTGGCGGTACAAAAATTTGCTTGGGACAGTTGTGAAAAAATACAAAAGGGACAGTTCGTGAGTTCACGGTCTGTAGCCTTCATACTATGGTTTACTCAGAGCAGGAGCATCGATAAGAGGACTCGTTAACATCGAGGGCATACAATATCAATGGATCGTAAAACTTAGAACCGGTTCTCGAGTGGAACCGGTTTTCGATTCCCATCCCTAGTAGAGATAAAAGGCACACTAGCACACACATGCAATGTCTCTAGCTCGCTCCTCTCTCTGCCGTGCGCGTGCTACGCATGCATGCTCTTGCTGGCCAGTCCGCCCCTGTGCAATTTTGCAAAATATGTATAACACACACTGTGTAGATCAAATAGTAACACTCAGCACCATAATGACCAAAAATGGCCCACTGAAACCCATTAAAACCTTGTTTAAAGCCGGGGCCGTCATTAATACACGAATCATGATTTATGTTGAAACATCCTTTAATTTTGAAGCAAAAGCATTATATTTGCATTATATATTGTATTCCACCAGATGATGTCACTACATAGGTATTCCCAATGGGTAGAAATGCACATTATTTTCCTGGGTTCCACTAGGGGCACTATTGACTGTTTTCAGACATGAACTTTTGACATAGCTGTTTTTTTTAGCAGTCTATTTTTCAAAGTTACTTGAAAAATCCTCACTTATGTAGAGGCACAAACACAGCCATGCAATCAGTCCTTAGACAATAATAACACCTTTCATCTTACGGCAGCACAAAGATGTAGCTGCGAGGGATCCAAAACAAAGTCTTCCTTTCATACGAGTGTGATTAATGCAAAAGTTATAAAGCTATACACATCTTTGGAGCGTAAATTTTAAACTCGACAAGATGAAGAAAAGCTGGGTCTGCAGACACCCATGACAATTGGAGGAGGGGGTGCAGTTCCTGCCCTAAAAAAAAAAAGAAAAATCTCCACCACCTGCTCAAAATGTGGCATTTACATCTGTAAGGAGCATGCATTGCAATTCTGCAGCTCCTTCTAATGAGCTGAAGAATGACCCCAAGAATGTCCCTTTCGGTCTCCCTTCTGAACGGCGTTCGGCCGTCCCTTAGGATCGACTGACTCATGTTCAACTGCTGTTCACATGGAACCCCTCTCCTCTTCCGCCTTCAAAGCTCTCGTTTGAATATTTGCTTCTACCACCAAGATCTGCCCCCGCGACGGCTCCACCCGTGCCCGGAGCTTCTGCGCCACCTTGGCAACCCTCCTACTCGTCGAGGCGTACCTCCTTCTGCCTTCGACGGCCGGGTATGGGCCCGGCACTCCAGTTCCATCCATTTTCAGGGCTATTTGATTCGACAGTTGAGTTGTTACACACTCCTTAGCAGGACTGTGGCCATGGAAGTCGGAATCCGCTGTCTATATCAACCAACGTCTCGCATTCTACACCTGGCTCCAAGCCAGCGAGCCGGGCTTCTTACACATTTAAAGTTTGAGAATAGGTTGAGATCGTTTCGGCCCCAAGGCCTCTTGTCATTCGCTTTACCGGACAAAACTGTGTGGCGAGCGCCAGCTATCCTGAGGGAACCAGCTACTAGATGGTTTGATTATTCTTTTGCCCCTATACCCAGGTCGGACGACAGTTTTGCACGTCAGGACCGCTGCGGGCCTCCACCAGAGTTTCCTCTGGCTTTGCCCTGCCCAGGCATAGTTCACCATCTTTCGGGTACCATTGCATCGTGGGGGCTCGTTGACAACCTCTGACTAGAGCGCGCGTTAGACTCTTTAGTCGGTGTTTTAGTGTTTTAGTACTCTTGTAGTTTTGCTTTCTTTCTAGAGCAAATTTTGATGTGTAATGAGACAGGCACAGGTTATAATCACCTAGTAGAAATCAGGAACATGTTTGCAGTATGTCAATTATATGAAAAATGGTACCAACTGGTGGAAAACAGTAAAAAGTAAATATTTTACCCCAAGGCTTGGTGATGACAGGGTATTTAAGTAGAAATTATGATTTTATGATATTATGACAGTGGGTTCAAAAATGAATATTTTAATGGGGTCAAATAGGACCAAATTTGTCCTACGTGCTATGTGTTATTTTTTACTTTTTTTATTTAATTTATTTTTTTATCTGACATAGCACAAACAAATTTAAAATGAAATAATTACATTTTTTGTGTTTTTTTTCCTCTTATACAAATTGATGGTATCGCTACCAAAACTGGTATTTAAAGGGAAATTAAATACATATTTGGTAGTTATGATTAGGACTGGTGCTGGTTAAAAGGTTTAACTTAGTAAAAGTAGAAAATAATAATAATATATAATATTTTAGGCAATGTTTAATATGTGAACATTTTTGGTCATTAATGCACTGAACGGTCTAAAATATATAATGCAGCACAAGGGTTAAACAGAAATGCAGCATTGGTGAGCATATGTATTATTTATAAATAATACAGTAAACACAGAAATAATTATTATCACTATTTAAAATAAAACTTTTCTAATTTAATATATTTTAAAATGCAATTTATTCCTGTGATGGCAAAGCTGAATTTTCAGTGTCACATGGTCCTTCAGAAATTACAATAATGTGCTGATCTGGTGCTCAATAGAAATGTCTTATTATTATCTCTGTTGAAAACAGTGCTGCTTAATATTTTTGTGGAAACTGATATGCTTTTTTTTTGTTCAGGATTCTTTGATAAAGAGAAAATGGAAAAGAACCTTTGAAATAGAAATCTTTTGTAATGTAACCTTAATTAAAAAGTCTCTAATATTAGCCGCTTACCAATTTGTTTTCACCGATCACAATTGTATTTTCACCAAAATAGTGTGCATAGATTCAGTTTTGTTAATCACCAAGTGGTCATGGTTATTGGCTATTAGTGATGTCTGACCAATACTGTATGTAAGTTACGGGTCTGTTGTGTGCTCTTTCTTAGATACGGTAATAACACTGGGCTGTATAAAGTTCGTGTGGGTGATTACCACTCTCTGGTTCCTGAAGAGTACGAGGAAGAATACGCCGTGGAGAAGATCATCCTTCACCCACGCTACCATGCTGACAGTAATGACTACGACCTGGCACTGGTGCGTGTGTCTGGCCACAGAGCTCACAGGGGTGTCACGGGCGAGTGCATCATACTGAACCGTTTCGTTCTGCCCGCGTGCCTGCCAGTGCGGAGGGAAAAAGTGCCAAAGGACATCGGCAACTGCTACATCACAGGCTGGGGAGACACAGGTCGGAGATTCCATAAAACACACACACACACACACATGCTCATTTATGCATTTACACACTCTCGCTACATATTTCCTTAAAACTGAAGAAATTGAATGCAGATCTGATTCGGAAACAATTAGACAGCCTCAAACTTTCCTTCTTGAAATGAAGGATGCTTTGAGGACAATTAGAGCAAGAACTGTGTAAAACAGATGTGTTATTGGCTCTTTTGAATAGCACAGGCTGACGGGCACTAGATGTGATCAGACAGTGTAAAAGTAGAAATGACAGCAATGATCACACATTGCAAGATATCCGTCTTTGTTCTGTGTGAAACGATCACTCTCTCACGGTGTTGTTCTCACCAACTGAGAGACATGTACAAACTCCTGGAGGAAATACAAGTGAAGGTTTTAGTAAAATGTTGAATTTAACAGATGATTTATTTTAAAGCTACACTGTGGGATTTTTACCCCCATCTAGTGGTGAAAAGGTATATGACCATCCAGTGAATATTAGTTTCTATTCCTCTCAATTCCGATTTAGTTTTAACTTGTACGGTGGCCAATGTAGTCCAAGATTAACATGGCGCAACATGGCTAACGTACCTTCAAGATGGAGGGGCAACATGGCGACCGACATTAGAACCCCTTACCCGTATGCATTTTCAATGGCATATTATACACTCACGAGAATACTTTATTACTTGAACGAAGTAAATATACATTTATGAGCACATATATTTTTGAAAGAACTAAAAGAGTTACACAGTGTAGCTTTAACGGATGTACAAAATGAGGAAAAAAACAAGCAGTTTCAGCAGTGCTCAAGTACTGAATTTCAAGAGTAAACCTTGAAATTCAGTAGGCTACTGAAACTTTGGTGTGAAAAGTTCACGGATTTGAATGGAAAACAGCTCGTTTCACTTGAACTTGAACAATACAACAAGTGTGGAATTTTAAACAATTAATCGTTTTGTCAGCATTTGCAGGGATTTACTAATACATGATACAATTGTTTTTGTGTTTCTGATTTTCTGTTTGCTAATCATGTAAATCATTATCAGTATAACATCTGTTTTTCCTGCAACAATCGAGCATCATCCATTTCAAACATTTAGTAATTATTTGGATCCTTGGTGGTATTTGCAAACAAGGTTGTATATTTGCGTGAGGGTATTTGTAAGCTCTGGTTTATGAATGAGCACATGACGTGAGTGCCAATTCAACATGTTCATAATGACAAAATTAGTCTGCATTAGTGTTCGCATTAGAGAGATTATGAGGCTGCGAAATGATGCCATTTGTAAATTTCTCCAACCAGACGTCCAGCGAGACAGAGAGATAAGAAAAATATTAGCAGCTAGCTTCGGGTGCAGATATGATAAACTCTTACAAACATTTTTAGTTGGGATTTAAAATAAATATCGAATAGGCTATGCTCTTGAGAAAAAGATGACCTCTTTAGCATACTATTACTTTATATGGACATTATATACTTAAAAATAAATGTACTTACTGTACAGTAGGTGTTTTTAATTGAATTTTATGTTTTTAAGTTCTTAATTGCATGATAACTGCAGTTAAAGTAAAGTATATTATATTTTAAATTTATATAAAATGGAATTAGTGAGGAATTACTTTTAATTTGACATTATTACAAAGTGCACCTTTTAAGAAAAGGTGATCACTGAGTGTCTGGGGGGTGTTCACTGATATCCTTACAAAAAAATCGCTGCAAAAGATGCTTTCCAACAGGTTTTATCGTGGTTTTTGTCCAAGCCAAGTCAATGGAGTTGACAAAAACTACAACAAAACCTGTTGGAAAGCATCTTTTGCAGCAATTTTTGTGTGAGCATATCAGTGAACACACCAGTTCCCGAAAATTCAAAAATTAACCGTTCTATTTAATCAGAAACAATCTTAAAACAGGGCTTTAAGTGTAAAATACCGAACTTGTCCTTTAAGTGCATTTCTTTTCTAGCCACACCTTTCCAGCCATCTAGTCTCATCAAAAAAGACAGACATGACAGAGCTGTAATCAGAGGCTGACACAGAACATGAGGAAGTCATCAAGGAACTACAGTGTATAATTATAATGTCAGTGTCAAGCATCTACAGATGATCATGTGATGTGCTGATGGTGGGGCTTCATTCTAATGGCCACGTTGTGTTGTAAATCCCCAGTGGAGTCTTTGAGTTGTCTTCTCTCAGTTAGTGGACTTAACAGAATTCTAAAGTGGGATGAATGAACTGTGTGATCAGGAAAACGACAGCACACTCCATTGCACACGTGAACAGTTATGTCTGATCACTTCCAGACTTTAAGTTTAAAGAATGGAGGACTTTCTGACCTGTTGGATCCCCCCCTCTTTTCTTTTCTCAGGCCGTGCATATTCAAAAACTCTTCAGCAGGCCTCGATCTCTGTTCTGAGCAAGCGTCAGTGTGAGCAGCGCTATTCGGACCAGTTTACCAATCGCATGCTGTGTGCCGGATCCTCTCAAGACGACCGTCGCGTGGACAGTTGTCGTGGAGATAGCGGAGGTCCGTTGGTGTGTGAGAGGCCGAATGGAAGTTGGGTCGTGTATGGGGTCACATCATGGGGTCACGCTTGTCGGCTGCAAGACGCACCCGGCGTCTACACCAAAGTCTCCGCCTTCGTGCCCTGGATTAAGAAGGTCACTGGCCAGTAGGACCCAATGGACATTTCAATCAACTGATAACAGACGTTCTGACTATGCGGGCAGAAAAATTAAGCACAATTTTAGATATTAGTTGAAAACAATTTTATAACTTGAAGCTGTTATAACTAGCTGAAATTAAGTCCAGTATTCCAAATAAGTCTTAAATGTAAATTACTTAGTGCCTGGCATCAGTATAGTCATAACAAAACTTGAACTTTGCTCTGAAATTACTGTACACTCCCAAAAAAAACAAAACATTTTCTTAATTAGTATTGCTGTCCAGTAAAAATATCTAAACATCCTGAATGGATTTAGAGAAACAATTTATCAATACGTTTTTATTTTTAATATTAAAAAAAAAAAACATTAGATTAAAGGGGTCATATAATGGTACATGCACTTTTTCAAGTTGATTGTACTGAAATGTGTGTTGGCAGTGCCTGTACACAACCATCATATAATGATAAAAATCTATCCAGTGTTTTTGTTTTAATCTCCGTGTATGTTTTCCCCTGCCTCAAATTGAGCCGTTCGTTTTTGTGACGTCAATAAAACGGACGCCCCTCCCACGATTTTTGATTGACAGCAGCGTCATTGTTAATACGCTGGTGGAGAATGGCGTCTAAGCGATTGTGGTGTTCTGTTCTTGGATGTAATAACGAACACAGTCATTTGTTGTTGTTCACATCACATGATGTTTCTAAATACAAAATGCTGAAGACACATTGGCTGAGTTTTGTTTTCGAAGAGAATATTCCCCACGAGCACTTTCATTTTTGCGCGATTCGCAAATCTTTTCTCACCAGACTGCTTTATCAATGAGGGTCAGTTTAAAGCTGGTTTTGCTAAGAAGCTGCTCCTGAAAAAAAGAATCGGTTCCAACAATTCATGTCCCTGTTGCACCTCCAGAAGAAGTGTGTAAAATTGTATATTTTGTATTAATCTTTGCAAATCGCTTGCACGCTTCACGATGAATGCAGCTAAGGTTTACATTACGGCATGTTTTCTATACGACATTCTCAATATAAATCATAATCCCATGTTTATAATGAACAATGCGTTATGGTTATTGTGTTATTACAAACTTTGTACGTATACATCAGTAAACACAATAGCGTTCATACATCGCACTAAGTTACTGTACCCTGCCAGTACACAAAGACAGATCAAAGTGACAGTATATTAACCAACCATTCAGAAACCATCCTGTTCAAGCCTTAATACGTTGATTTCACACAGCCGCCATTTTTAAATGGCTCGGTGGGAAGAAAACCGGAAGTGTAGCCTTTTAATCATAGGAGAGTTGCGAATGCGATGGCATATTGTTGTGTTTAATGTAGAAATTAGTTATTCTAAATATACACATACATTTCTTTCTTTAGACTATATGGAAATTCATTTATAAATAAAATATTTTTATATATAATTCAGAAAAAAGAAGCAGAAACTAACTAAATACATAGTTCGCGCATGCGCCAATAAGGAAGTAATGGAATAGTCAAATAAAGCCGTTATTTATGTTTTTTTCGCACAAAAAGTAGTCTCGTCGCTTGATAAACTTATAATTGAGCCGCTGTAGGCACATGGAAGATTTAAACATTTTCTTTAATGACTTTATGGGCCGTCAAGAGCCAGTCCCTTTGGAAGTTAATGGAAGAGTGATACAGCTCTCAGATTAAATCAAAAATATCTTTATTTGTGTTCCGAAGATGAACGAAGGTCTTACGGGGTTGGAACAGCATGGGGGTGAGTAATTAATGACTTAATTTTCATTTTTGGGTGAACTAACCCTTTAAGGGTTAAAACAAGACAAAAAACAAACAAACAAAACAAAACAAACCAAAAAAATCAGGATTTAACAATAAATTAACACTAAATGTATAAATGTATGTTTTAAGGATGGTTAGACATTTTTAAGAAAAAAAAATTAAAATCAGTATTTGCAGAAGTTTTAACGTCTATCTTGATAGCGATGGATTTGGTGGTCTTAAATTTACATAATTTTAGGTCATCCTAAAATTCTTCATTCATCTAATTCATCCTTCATCCTTTTTTTTTTTTATATATAAATGAAAGCACTTCTAGGTTGAAGAGACCACAATTGCGAGTATGAAATTATTGATCCTTAAAATGAGAAAGTAATCTGTATCTGTATACTGTATACTCTATGCCATTGAGAAACAGATACTGTAACATTTGAACATGTAAAATAGGACAAGTAGGCTAATGTTCCAATTTGATACATAGCGGACTGAAGACCGTTCCAATGGCTTGAAATCACACCAGGCTTTAATGCTGAAATGAGAAGATTGTGGATTTCCTGCCAAGAAATGTATGGTAATTCTAAACTCCTGTCCTGGGATACGGTTACCATGCCATTGCTAAGTAACTGGCCACATCACCTCATCAGCGCATTAGATGACATCATAATCTTCTACAGAAACCATGACATCATGTGTTATAGATCAGATGTTTATGTTAATTGGACTGAGGCTTGCCATATTTCAACATGAGGACATCATTTGCTTAATATTTTTGCAGTGCCACACTCACTTCCAGAAGCCAGAGATCTGTGGGATTATGGGAATTATGTGCAATGCAATGCTGTTTATACCTCCTTGTTTTAGTGATGTGATGAGGGTCATTTGATGTTAGCATTCATTTTCTGTGACGTCCATGAGCATGATTTATGAATGTAGTCTTGCTACAGACTTCGCCCCCCTTTTTAAAGCAAACCACTATTGTTATTATTGTTAAAAAAGAGAAAACCTCTGATCAACCACAAACTGTTTTTTTTGCACAAACTATGGTGTTGCAGGTTAGACTTTTATAAATTTCATGTTTTTCTTGTACACCAGTCAGTCATTTTCTAATATCGTGTTAATTAACTATGCTATGAAAACTGTAAAAAGTGTTAATTGTTCACACAGGGTCAATAACAGTAGTGCGTATTATTGCCATTTATATATGTTAAAATATTTCAGAACTTGTGGCATGGTGCTTACTTTTTCCTAAAAATTGTATGTCAAGTCATGTGTCAACTTAAAATCATAAAATACTTTACATAAACAATTGTCTGACAATGTTGGAAATACTTGATGGAATATAGTACCTTACTCTCAAAGAATTGCCGGCTTCTTAATTTGGAAAATTTAGTTTGAGGGAAATCTAAAAATGGTTTAACGGAGATAGGACAAGTTTATATAAAAAATTGTGTGCCACTGCCAACAACAGTACATTCTGTGTGTGTTTGTGTGAACGTACATCCATATCTTGTATTTGAGGACGTTTCTAACAATCGTTGGTTTCAGGTTTTCTTAATACACAGTCAAGCTACACTTTTAGCAAGTCCAGCTTTCTGTGTTTTTGTTCACACAGTGGTCTAAATCAGTGTGTACAGACCTGACAATGCAGTGTTAGGACTGTCTTTTCAGAAAGACCTTTGTTTACATGAGTTACAATGTACCGACAGGATCTCTCTCTCTCTCTCTCTCTCAATTCAATTCAATTCAAATTGCTTTATTGGCATGACTGTACATATTACAATATTGCCAAAGCTTGTAACACATAGTATAGTGAAGACAGTAATAATAACAAAGTATTATAACAACTTAAATTAAAATGTACAACTTAAATTAATTGCAAAAAATAACAGTGTAACAGATTATAATTTCTATGAACGTTTGATACCACAGTGTTTAAACATATATATAGACACATACACACATTACTAAGGGTCACTGTGGTGGACATTAGGGATACACACTGAGGTCACACACACACACACACATTCACCTACTGTCTCTCAGGCTGTGGCACGCACACACGTATCTGGCAGCCAGTGCTGCGGTCTGTCCCTCTCCTAGTAAGATCTTTATCTGCTCTACTTCAGTCATGGTTGTAAAGTTGTGTATTAAGTTATTACGTTTTTTGAAGTAGAGGTCTCTGATCGAGCTGTATTTGTGGCAGTGGAGGAGGAAGTGTGTCTCTGTCTCGATCTCTCCTGTCCTACACTGAACACACACCCTTTGCTCTCGGGGTAGCCAGCTCTTTCTGTGTCTGCCGGTCTCGATGGCTAGACTGTGTTCACTCAGCCTGTACTTGCTCAGGATCTGTCTCTGCTTTGTGTCTCTCACACTCTGGAGATATTCCTCCATTTCATAATTTGATTTCAGATTTCGATAGAATTGTAGTTTACTTTGTGTTTTGGTTTCCTGATCCCAATGTTCCAGATATGTATTTTTAGACTGTTTAGTAATTTGGTTTATTCTGATGTGTGTGTGAGGAGCAGTGCTGGTCTGAGACTGGTGAGTGTTAGTAGGGTTAGTCGAGTTAGTGAGTCTCAGGACCAGCTGACTGAGAAGACTCTTTTCGGGGTTCAGTTCTTGGGTCTGTAATGCTTTAAAATGTAGCGATTCTGTGGGACTTGATTTTAGATGCATCCAGAATTTGAGGGATCTTTTTTGCATATTAATAATCAATGGGAATCGGCCTAATTCTGCCCTACACGCATTGTTGGGTGTTTTCCTTTGTAGTTTTAGTATCATTTTGCAGAATTCTGTGTGTAGGGCTTCTGTTGGATGTCTGTCCCATCTAGTGTAGCTCTGATCACTGAGTGGACCCCACACCTCACTTCCATACTCTCTCTCTCTCTCTCTCTCTCTCTCTCTCTCTCTCTCTCTCTCTCTCTCTCTCTCTCTCTCTCTCTCTCTCTCTGTGTGTGTGTGTGTGTGTGTGTGTGTGTGTGTGTGTGTGTGTGTTGACACTGCATTTCTAATACACTCTTTCTTTCAACTAATCTCTATGGAGACAAGTTTACTGTATGATGGGAAATGCTGAAATGAATTTTCAGAAATGCAGATTATTTGTTAGTAGCCTATTCATTCATAGTGATTCACTGAATGAAAGTAAATCTGAATGAGAATAAAATCCAAGAGTCCTGCCAGAAGTACAAATACAGTATAAGTAAATCCGATACGTATGGGACCTCTGCAGTTCTAGGCAGGAGGGAGAGTTGTTTCTCTATGACTCTTTATGCAGTGACATTGATTTGGCATGTGACATGAGACAGCTCACTGAGAGAGAGAGAAAGAGAGAGAAAGCGCTCTGTTTCAGTGATTGACATTGAGAGCAGTGTTACAGCGCCATCCTGTGGCCAAATCTGGAACTCTCTAAATGAAGCTTGCTGTTTTATTTATAGCCTATATTCCATGGTTTTATAATGCTTTACCTCATTAACGTATAGCTTTCTGATCTTCCAAGCACACATACATAATATATCTGTATTATTAACGGTATTATTCAATTTAACCAATCAGGAATATAACCAGTGTAATTGAGA